GAGGGGGGGCAATTGATAAAACTAGAATAGTGAAGCGAATAGTGCGAATAGTCGACGAATAGTGCGAATAGTCGACGAATAGTACGAATAGTCCGCGAATAGTCAACGAATAGTGCGAATAGTCCGCGAATAGTCGACGAATAGTCCGCGAATAGTCGACGAATAGTACCAATAGTCAACGAATAGTAGGAATAGTCCGCGAATAGTGCAATAGAGAGTTTGCAAGGCTTTGCACCGTGCTGTAGAACTCAATTTACCGAAGCGGAGCTGGGGGGGGGGGCGGCTCTATTGACAAACATGAATTCGTGAAAACATTCGTTGATGTCAATGACGTCATACGTAATCGGTAAAAATTACGGGACCACTGAGTTTTAACAAATATTTAACAGGAAGTAGAATGACAATCACTAGAATGACGTTTTCCACTGGGCGAATTTGTTCGCGCGAAGCGACAAGTAAAAGAGTAGGAACTGTTCCACAGGGCCGTGCCAATCGGTTTCTGGTTGCATGGGGGGTGTATTCCAAAATTTGGGCCTCCTTCCATTCCAGGCCCCCCCCCCCAAAAAAAACTTTTTCCGGAAAGCAAAAATTTTTTCGGAGAATGTTGGCCCCCCACACCCCCCAGTTGGCACGGCCCTGCTGATCCAACTTTTTCGCGGCGAACCAATCACATTGCCGAAATTTGGTTTTCGCTTTCGCGCGAACAAATTCGCCCAAAAACGGGCTTAATAAATAATAAATCGATACCTCTCTTGTTTCGTGATGTAAATCACGTTTTCCAAGCACACGAAATCACTTAAGCCCTTAAATCTTCAGTTACAACGTCACAACTTACAAGTAAAATTCCTATAAAATTCCATCAGTAAAATTCATGACTCATACGGTTGCCATCAGGAATGATGATCAATAAAAAAATATGAATGACGATGACTGAATTTTAGTCGAAAGCTAGAATATTAAAATGTTTAGTATCGAAGTTACCGTTGTTTTATATTTTATTAAAATACTCAGTGGTTCCCGTAATTTTTACCGGTTACGTATGACGTCATGACGTACGTCAACGAATGTTTTCACAATTTCATGTTTGTCAATAGAGCTCCCTCCCCGTAAATTTAGTTCTACAGCACTGCTGCAAAGCCTTGCAAAGTCTCTATTGCACTATTCGTCGACTATTCGTAATATTCGTCGCCTATTCGCGGACTATTCGTACTATTCGTCGACTATTCGCGGACTATTCGTACTATTCGCGGACTATTCGCACTATTCGCTTCACTATTCTAGTTTTATCAATTGCCTTCTTAAAAGCTGGTTTGCGTGTCCGAAAATGTTCGTTTCTATAGCAGTATATATACGCATTAATTACTCCACTAGTAAAAATCATTGTTACGCTCCACGGGTTTAAGTAATTAATATAAATACTGTCCGTTCCTCTCACGATTACATACGCAAAAGCAGCCAGAATTGGTATGGATGTAAGGTATAGCACTCCAATGATGCATAGTATTCGGAAAATGGTTTTCTTTTCTTTGGCAGTTAACTTAAACGTTTGCACTGCATTGTGGGGTTTTTTTGGCATCTTTTGACATGGTGTTTCAGTTGGTACTTTTATTTCTTCATTGTGATTGTTGCTGTTGCAGGCTGCATTTGAGTCCATGCTTGTACCTGCTAACATAGAAAAGATTTTATTTAATTTAATTAACTTTGCCAAGTAACATGAAACATTTAACAGCACTGATTTACAACAACATATAATATGTGTTCCATTGGCAGAGTGCACGCAACAGTTTTCACCAATTACAGCGGCCCCATCGCCCCCATGAACTATGCTAATACTATACAACAACACAAATCTAATAACAACACGATATTTGACAGGACAGATTACTGATACGAGACTTGTTACAAGACAAACATATAGATTTCCATGTCCTTGGATCATCAACGTCAAAAACATCTTCCAGCGCTAACTTGTAATACTTAGAAAGAAGATCGAGTTGATGAAACACTATGCTTGCTAAGGGTCATCTCCTGTACTACTGTACATTATTTATCCTAGAGGTCCAGTGAGAGATATCCTTGAGAGATATCCTGGTTTTGACATGTCCAGGCGTACAGGTTAAACCACGGGTTAAACACTCAGAAAACAATGTTTGCGAGTCAACATAAAATCGATCTCATTTGCGAAACAAAATGTGTCTGAACGTGTTGGAAGACAGTTTTGCTTTCCTGAAAGGAAATTTTGTATCCGCTGTTTGAGGAAACATCAAGATTTACAAACGTTTTCAAAAGATTATACTTTATCAACAACGTCATCAACGTCAAAAACATCTTCCAGCGATAACTTGTAATACTTAGAAAGAAGAAGATCGAGTTGATGAAACACTATGCTTGCTAAGAGTCATCTCCTGTACTACTGTACATTATTTATCCTAGAGGTCCAGTGAGAGATATCCTTGAGAGATATCCTGGTTTTGACATGTCCAGGCGTACAGGTTAAACCACGGGTTAAACACTCAGAAAACAATGTTTGCGAGTCAACATAAAATCGATCTCATTTGCGAAACAAAATGTGTTTGAACGTGTTGGAAGACAGTTTTGCTTTCCTGAAAGGAAATTTTGTATCCGCTGTTTGAGGAAACATCAAGATTTACAAACGTTTTCAAAAGATTATACTTTATCAACAACGTCGTCAACGTCAAAAACATCTTCCAGCGATAACTTGTAATACTTAGAAAGAAGAAGATCGAGTTGATGAAACACTATGCTTGCTAAGAGTCATCTCCTGTACTACTGTACATTATTTATCCTAGAGGTCCAGTGAGAGATAACCTTTTCCGATCCAGTGTTCTTAGAAGAGAGAACTTAAATTAAACCAACTTTATTTATACTGGAGAAGGTCTATCGGATAAAACAACAGCTTATTGGTCTAGTCTTACTGTACGAGGAAATTGTAGTATCCTGACAATACCTACACTGTAAATCTGGGGGAGTGTTGCCACAACACCAAAATCGGTGTAAATTCTTGCCTCCGTGGGGACACCGAAAAGGTGTCAGTTAACACTGATTTTAGTGTTAATTTACACCTCTTCAGTGTAAATAGTTGTGTCTGTATGAACACCCATTTGGTGTTAATTAATTTGCACCATCCTAGGTTATTTGACGCTGCTTTGGTGTAAATCCGCTTGCCTCTGTGGAAACACCAATTTGGTGTTTATTTACGCTGAGAGTGTAAACTTACACCATCCTAGGTTATTTAACGCTGCTTTGGTGTAAATCCGCTTGCCTCTGTGGGGACACCAATTTGTTGTTTGTTTACACTGAGAGAGTAAACTTACACTGCCATAGGTTATCTAGCACTTCTTTGGTGTAAATCTACTTTCCTCTGTGGCGACACCAAATTGGGGTAAAGTTACACCATGCACGGTGTTTGCGACCTGGCTGTGGTGTATTTTCACATACGACTTATGGGTAATTGTGATCAACCGCATACCTCGAACCACAATAAGTTAATGAAATACATACACTAACACTGTGCCAACATCACCCAATGATTCTATGAATGCGCGATTAGTACTTCAAAAGTTACCTGTGTTTAGTCCAGAATTCTTCTTACTTGTCTCTCCACTCTTTTCAACCACAGACAGTCCATGAATCCGGTTTATATCTTCTTCGGCGAAAACATTCTGTAATTGAGAACTCCTTGGTTGAGCCTTCTCACCATGAAAAGTTGTCGATTTTCGACTTACGGAAAATATTTTCACATAAACAGCTACGGTATAGACCAACCCGAACAATAAAATGAATAAATAGACGTACAACAATTGAGACAGTCGTCGTGGAAAAATTAGGTGAAAAGTTGTCAATAAGATTGCCCATGCTGCAAACAGCGATAAACTCACATAAACCAGCACTTTCTTTCGCATGTAAACGCGGTGATAGATCGGGTATAAGATTGCAAAAAATCGTTCTGAAGTTAAAACAATTGTCGCCATTATAAAACTGAATCCCAAAAGAACGCAGAGTATTGTTTCGGTAACATTCTGAAGTGTACAATTAAAAATTCCAATAAACTCCAGGATAAACATGGAAATGAAAAGCGGTTGGGCTACTGCGCTTTGTTGCAAATTCAAAGATGCTAACAGAAAGAGTAAGGTGTTGGAAACAGGCTGTCGGGCCCTTGTTTGGTAGTATTTATAGACAACCAGCCCACTGGCAAACAAGTTTAGTAACATGGTTGCAGTATTCACGCAGCATAATGCGATATCGTTGTAGAATATTGAATGTAAACTGATGTTTTTCTCAGTTTCCGTAGACCAACATAGCATCGCTTCCGACATTGTGTAGAAACTATACGCGAACACCTGCAAAAGTTAATAAGACAAAACGATTGATGCGTCTTAAGACTTTTAATAAGATATGGATTACTGGCAAGGCAGACCTTAATTTAAAAGTCTGATTATGAGTCTCTGTCTAACATTTCACCCGTCAGTGCAAACGCGCCCAAGATCAGAAAATACCACTGCCATCTATTTCTCGTTCGGATACATATCTATATGTCACGTGGACACTTTGCTGCACGTATTCTGAGTAATTCGTATAAAAAGGGATTTGCATGAACATGGATGCAACAAAGAAACGAGCATGCATGCAGAATAAAAGTTCCGAAGCCAAAAGAAGAAGGGCGTTCAACTATATAAGAAAGCTTCGGATTGATAGGGATACTGAACTACCTGAACTAAATACAAGGAGAACTTCGACGTTTCGAGCAAAGGCGCTTCGTCAGGACGTTAGTAGGACGAAGGGCCTTCGCTCGAAACATCAAAGTTCCCCTTGTATTTTTCAGGTAGTTGTATCCCTATCAATCCGAAGCTTTCAAGATTATTATTCGCTCTACCTGCACTCAGGAGACGGCATAGACCTCTCAACTATAACAGGGTTCGTAGTCTCCAAGACCAAAAAAATTTAAAGGCTTTCATGATCAGACTTTTTATGCCGATTTTCAAAGACCTTTCAAAGACCTTTGAGAGCAATCAACTGTAGAGTGTAGAGAAATTGCGAGTGTAAGCACCATTTTTTAATCCAGTCAAATCACATCCTAAAATGCGCCTTTTCGTCGATATTTGCGAAAATCTTGCTTCAATCAATCTATTTTATTAGCTAGGAAATCATATAATCAATTCCTCACTAAAGAATTTAAAGACTTTTAAAGACTCTTCTTCACTTTTTCACCCAATTCAATGATTCAAAGTCTTTTGTCGGGCACAATCCGAAAAAGTCGGGCAAATGTCTTTCTGCCCCCTAATTTTTTCCTTCCCGTACGCCTATGATCATGGGCTACATACATCCGTGAGAACCTCTCTCTGAACAGGTCGCCGAAGGCCAAATTAGGAACATGAATTGTTCGTTTATATATATAGGAATCGCGAGGTGTCCGTAGGGCGGAGCTGTTCGATTGTTGGCATCCATCTGTTCGGCGTGCATTTCATCAAAGAAATATTTTCCATATAGTACAATGTCATTCAACACGAACATTATATCACTCGTTCATGAAACATATAGCCAATCAGTAGTATAAGGGGGAAATTAATTACCTATTTCAAGCGCGTATTACAATAAATTTGACAGTTTTGTTCTAGGCTCTATTATAGATATTATATACATACCTTTTTTAAAGAAAAGTTTTACACAAGCCGTCCAAAAACAACTGTAATAAATGTCCAACAAACAAACTTTAAAACATGACAATGACAAAATCAAAAACCCGCGTCATATCTAATTAGCATGAGCCCCTTTGCCAATTTTGGGGGAAATGTAATTATTGCAAAATAAACAGAAAATTTAGTTGATTACAAATATTAAAATCATCAATTTGTGATAATTATTCATCAGATTTTACAACTAAAAATTCGATAACAGTCGTTCGTATTTGGATTGTAAACGTATCATGGCAAGTGTGAAATCGCGTAAATAAAGTTGTTTGAAAAAGTCGCACCATATCTAAAGCTGAATGTGTGGAATGCTTAATTAGCTTGATTGGCAATCGCCTTTAATAATCTATCATCCATTGTAATCAAATGTTCAATCATCTCATTCTTGCTTCTCATTTCTTGGCTACACATTCTAGGCTGCAGCTGTTTTAACGTCCTCGTCTCAGAGTGATATTCCCTGTATCCATTATTACATTCTGATCCCAGTCCTCTCTATATAAGTAGTCTTTTCCTCATTGCCCACATATCAGCTTCATAAGGCATGGCTTCATAAGGTCTCATAAGGCATGGCTTGATGCATGACAAGTCGGTATTCACTAAACTATCACAAGCTAAACCCAGAATCGAAACGCATTATCGATGAAAACCGCGATCAATGCTATTTTTTAGTGGAGTTTTGTTGCGATCGACTCTGCCCAGCGTGACTATCATTTGCATTACCAGACGAGCAAACTGGCGAGCTCTTAAAAGTTGGCTTGCGTGTCCGAAAATGTTCGTTTCTATAGCAGTATATATACGCATTAATTACTCCACTACTAAAAGTCATTGTTACGCCCCACGGGAATAAGTAATTAACATAAACACCGTCCGTTCCTCTCACGATTACATACGTAAAGGCAGCCAGAATTGGTATGGATGTAAAGTATAGCACTCCAATGATGCATAACATTCGGAAAATGGTTTTCTTTTCTTTAGCAGTTAACTTGAACTTTTGCACTGCATTGTAGGTTTTCTTTCGCATCTTTTGACACGGTGTGTCAGTGTACGTTGGTGCTGTTATTTCTCCATTGTGATTGTTGTTGTTGTCGGCTGTATTTAAGTCCATGCTTGTACCTGCTAACATAGAAAAGATCGAGTTGATGAAACACTATGCTTGCTAAGGTTCGTCTCCTGTTGGTCCAGCGTTACTACTGGAGGAAACATATACTACATTTATCCTAGAGGTCCAGTGAGAGAGATCCAGTGTTCTTACAAGAGGCAACCTAAATTAAACCAACTTTATTTATACTGGAGAAGGTCTATCGGATAAGATCACAGCTTATTGGTCCAGTCTTACTCTACGTCTCTTGTTGGTCCAGCGTCACTTTATTTATCCTAGATGTCCAGTAAGAGGAATCTTTTTTTGATCCAGTGTTCTTACAAGAGGGAGCCTAATTCCTACATAAAACCAACTTTATTTATACTGGATAAGATCTATTAGTCCTCTATCCTCCATAGAGGTACAGTAATTTAAAAGCACAGCTTATTGGTCCAGTGTTACTGTAAGAGGAAACTGCAGTATCCTGACAATACCAAATGTGTTTGTGACCTAGCTGTGGTGTATTTTCACATACGACTTACGGGCAATTGTGATCAACTGCATATACCTCGAACCACAGTAACAGAGGCGAAAGACACTAACACTGTGTCAACTGAACACCTCATGATTCTATGAATACGCAATGTGATATTTCAAATCCGACTATGAGGATTGGACTAGATTTCAGGTCCGCGCAATTTGATAAAGTCCGAGGCGAAAACTGAATAAAAATGCGAGGAAATCTATAGTCCAGTCCTCAAAGTCAGATTTAAAGTGACATCACATACGAATATATCACTACTTAAAGTGAGGTGAATTAATTTTGATCCAGTCCAAGCTAGGACTGAATTATTTTCATCCAGTCTGGATCAATATACATCACCAGGTATCCCGTGACATCCAGTATTATCACATGTGAGCAAAATATGCTTGGCTAATTTATCATTAATTATTAATGAGTTTGAGATTTATAATTCAAAAGTTGCCTGGGTTTAGTCCAGAATTCTTCTTACCTGTCTCTCCTTTCTTTTCAACCACAGACAGTCCATTCTGTAATTGAGAATTCCTTGATTGAGCGTTCTCACCATGAAAAGTTGTCGCTTTTCGACTTACGGAAAAAATTTTCACATAAACAGCCACGTTATAGACCAAGCCGAACGATATAACGAATAAATACAAGTAAAACAATTCAGGCAGTCGTCGTGGAAAAATTAGGTGAAAAGTTGTCACTAAGATTGCCCATGCTGCAAACAGCGATAAACTCACATAAACCAGGACTTTCTTTCGCATGTAAACACGATGATAGATCGGGTATACGATTGCAAAAAATCGTTCTGAAGTTAAAACATATGTCACCAATAGAAAACTGAATCCCAAAAGAATGGACTGTATTATTACGGTAATATTTTGAAGTGTACAATAAAAAATTCCAAAAAATTCCAGGATAAACATGGAAATGAAAAGCGAATGGGCTACTACGCTTTGTAGCAAATTCAAAGAAGCTAACAGGAAGAGTAAAGTGTTGGAAACAGGCTGTCGAGCCCTTGTTTGGTAGTATTTATAGACAACCAGCCCACTGGCAAACAAGTTTAGTAACATGGTTGTACTATTCACGCAACATAATGCGATATCGTTGTAGAATATTGAATGTAAACTGATGTTTTTCTCAGTTTCCGTGGACCAACATAGCATCCCTTTTGACATTGTGTAGAAACTATACGCGAACACCTGCAAAAGTTAATAAGACAAAAAAGATTAATGCGTCTTAGGACTTTGAATAAGATATGGATAACTGGCAAGGCAGATTAGCAGCCCTTCAGGTATCCATTTGAAGTCCTCGCAAATAATATTTTGGGTATGGCCAATACTGTTTTGCTCTACTGAGGGACAGGTGTGACGCGAAATGCATGGCCATTAATTGATGATCGAAGTGAGTATGTAAAGAATGGAAGGTCGAAGCTTCAAGGGCGCTGTGAGTTCACTGGTGGGCAAAGCCAAGGCTTGCAAGCTTTGTCTATTTGGTATATTGTCCGAATGTAAGACTGGGCTAAAAATTTCAGCTTGTCATGACTGCAAGTACCGGCGAATTACACACAGCCTCTGCGGGCGAATGGCTGTTTAAATGTCTTCTTATAGCGCTGTAGGAATTCCCCGTTCGCCGGCTATAACAAGATGGGTGAATTCACTGATTCGTGATTAGTATAGACTATAGGATATATCCGTCAAGATACGACGTCTGCGAGTGATGTACATTACTGTTCGTGTTGAATGACATTGTACTATATGGAAAATATTTCTTTGATGAAATACAAGTCCGAGTTTATGAAACATATAGCCAATATACATAGTGAGGGGGGAAATTAATTACCTTTTTCAAGCTCTACTATAAACATTATATACATACCTTTTTAAAACAAAAGTTTTACACAAGCCGTCCAAAAACAACTGTAATAAATGTCCAACAAACAAACTTTAAAAACATGACATATATATACAAAATCAAAAACCCGCGTCATATTAATTAGCACGAGCCCTTTGGCAATTTCGCGGAAAATGTAATTGTTGCAAAATAAACAGAGTGACAATTTGGCTGATTACAAATATTAAAATCGTAAATGTCTGATAATTATTCATCAGATTGTGAAACTAAAAATTCGATAACAGTTGTTCGTATTTGAATTGTAATCGTAGTAAGGCAAATGTGAATTTGTGAAATCGCGCAAATAAATTTGTTTCATTGAAAAAGCATCTAAAGCTGAATGTGGAATGCTCAAATAGCTTGATTGGCAATCGCCTTTAATTAATTTTGAAACGGTAATTTAATTGATTAAACAGGGTATATTCACCAATTTAATTATGTCAGTCATAAAGAATTAATATCACTCTGAAATTCATTCCCTTGAATTAATACGAAAGATATTACATAGAGGACCGACTCACAGAGACGTTTGAAAATCCTAAAGCCCGGATAAAACGAATATGAGAGCGCATGAGAGTTGGGTGACCTTGGTTAATTAGCTGTTCTTATTGTTTTCCCAACACTATAGCCCCGTTTAGACGCGCAAATTTTATTTGCAAATTTCTTTTGATCAAATGCATTTGTCACAATGAATTTGTCACAATTTATCATCTACACGAGCAAAATATCTTTGACATATGAAATTTGTCAAATAAAATTTGCTCGTGTGTCGTTCAACGGGGCTTAGGGACCGGTCATTATTTATGGCAGGGGGTGGCACCGAAGAGAAAAGGGTTGGGTAAACAAAATTTTGAGTGAGTAAAAGGTTGGGTAAATGAAAAACAAAACAACTCAAGGGTTGGGTAATAATAATTTCCACAGCATGACTCACTGAAATATTGGAGACTAAAAAGCAATGTCAACAGTCATATGTCAATACAATATGTGAATCATTCGGAGTCACTATCTTGATCACTGGTTTTCAATTTGTTGGGAGACAAATGGTGTCTCCAAAGAAAGTACATGTGCAGACAACATGAAACTTTAGTCTGCAAAAAAATCCACAATCCGTTATCAAACTCATGTCACAGAAGTGGCAAGGGACATGTGTGACAACTGAGTGGTACCTTTTTGTAAAGTTTTTGGCCAGGGGTGGGTATTTATTTTTTAATTGATATTTGAGGTTGGGTAATCAAATTTTTTACTTTTTAATGGTCGGGTCAGCAAAATTTTTGCCACAAAAAACATTTCTCTTCGGTGCCACCACCCACCATAAATAATGACCGGTCCCTTATCATGACTCATGTATTCTACTTAACATAGTTGGAAAACCCATCAAACCTTTGTTTGCTAATCTAGAGCTTGAAATGTCCCCGTAACAATGCATGCCAATTAACTCTCATCCTCGTTTGACAGTGGCTTTAATCACATCTAAAATCAATGTCAACTTCGCCAGTAAAATATATTAATGAATCACAAAGCCTAAAGGCTAAACGGACCACAAATCTTGTTGATAAAGCATTTCTGTATTTACCAAATGATGTAAAAAGTCAAGAATTTTAACGTTTCTACCAACGTCCAGCTAGATGGCCTTCGCCCAGTCAAAACCTTGATTTTATTTCTATATTATTCATGTAGTTAAATCCTTCAACGATTACAGAGCCTCTTGTAACATTTATATAAACTGGGGGTGGGGTAGGGGGGGGGGAGTCCTCCCAGCCAATTACTCCACCCACAGTGAAGATCCCTTCTGTTTAACTATAAGCAAAAAGCGTTTTTGTGCTCCTATGGCCAAACCTTTGTTTACTGGTTGAAATATATCAAAAGTTGTATAAAAAAATGCAGAAAATCAAAGGTGGATCCCTAGACATCCTTACAGGTTCCCATTGTTCCAGTTCACCATTTAGGTCCCTTTATGTTGATGGCCCCTCCAATGAAAAATTCTTAAGAGGCTCTGTCAACCAACATGTTCAATATTGTTCAATGTAGCCTAGAATAGAACTCCATATAGTTACTTTACCTATAGTTATCATTTTTTTACTTTAATCAGTTTCTAATCTGTTGTCCTCAATGATGATTGTCAGAGGAGGGAAGCCTTCCATTTCAACAAAAATAAAGCGATATTCATATCTTCTTGCCGAAACCTGTTGAAAAGATTTAGCGTTATCAGGATGTGACTTCACTCGAAATATGTCAAAGTGTTTTTAATTTCTTTTCAGACAAAAACCACAACAGAAATCTCAAATTACCTGTTTAACATCAACGTGAACGGTTCCTTTGCGATGAGTACCAGAAACATAAAATTTTACTCTCATGTAATTCTCTCCAGCAACAATATATTCTTGAAAACTAGACAAGAGAAATAACAGTTATATGGCAACAACAGATAATTTTATTCATTCAAATGATGATGAGCCTTGATTTACTCTTGTTGCTTAATTTAATTAATAGACCAGCAAATTTTTGATCATCCATTTGGGTGAATCAGGGATGAATCCTGCCAGATCTGGTATGGAGGGGGTGTGGGCAAGGTGGGGAGGGGGTTCATGGTGGTATACTCATTGGGCTTTGGCCATGGTCATGGTTTAGGGTACACACACCCCAGCACCATTAGTAAATCCATCCCTGGGGTAAGTCGCAACTGTACATCAAGCTTCAGTACCTGACATGTCGTCTTCGCCCTCTTGACGTCTCTTCACCATAAGCTTTGATTGGCTCTCCAAGAGCATTTAGAACCTGCGGTGACAGTTATAACGATACAGATAATTGCCTATCACTACCAAGTTAAATTAAACACTTAGGAGTAGTGGTGTTGACGTTGGGGGACCAAAACAAACATGATTTCGATAATTGGATAGGTAAAGATTTTTTGAGAGTATGGTAAGTTGTATCTGGCTATCCGCTATAGCATAATTACAATACATGTACGTACCTCCTCATTTAACTTTACTTTCTTTAAAGCATCAGCATAGATCTTGTTGGGACTACTGCTCAGAAATAATTCACTGAAAACATACCATAACAGACCACCTAAATAAAGATCAAGATTTTGGATAAACATAGAGAACAGGCTGAATTGTTCACACGATCTTGACAAGTAAAATTGTCTGGAATTAGACAGAATAAAATAATAAAGCAGGGTGCATTGGGGCATAGACGGATTTTCAGATTTTGCTCAGGGGAGACCTTTTTTGGGGGTGCAAAATATTTTAGTGGGTGCACCCCCCAGAAAATCTGTCCATGCACTGAGGTGCAATGCAACTCAATGGGTTAAATAATATGCAATCAAGTGGCAACTACACTGCATGTACTACCTGTAACAGCAAAACCAGCTAAAATGATGGCAAAATAACTGACATCTTTTCCTGCTTGAGCAACTAAAATAAACAACACAAACTTTAAAGTATAAAACAATGGTTGACACTTTGCAAAATATTGGGTGGGGACAAATTTAGGTCGCCATTTTGCCTTTAAATTTCATGCGTATTTGCTTAATTTATATATAGCTTACCAATTTGATTTCATGTAAACTTTGTAAAATTATTGCTACAATTTTTTTACACAGCATTTCAGCAACCATTTAAAGGCTAAGGCATGCAGAAATTATTGGGGATGGGATGGGCGGTTGCTCCCTCACTTCTCCAAGTGTCCAATATTGACAAAGGGGAAAATCTGTAACCAATCACAAATTAGCAATTTGCAAGCAGGGTCAATGCATAGTCGCATGGACTTGCAGCAGATATGGCCGAATTGTGATTGGTTGCATTGAAACCAAGTTTGTGGGACGTAGTCCCGTGCATCTGTTCTCTAGTAGATCAAGTTCTAATATAAAGTAGGATGATACTGTACCTTTCTGACTAACAGTAAGTGCAGTTTGAGGTCTTTCTGTTGCTTCCACCAGTTCCTGTAGTGACTCTGGCTTCTTTTCTTCCTGAAATCTCACACTAGAACTACTTCCGTGAAATTGTCGTGTTACTGAACCAAAAGTACATAAATCCAAGTCCTTTTCACGTTGTTTGATATTACAATATTGCCCATATATTTTCCTGGGTTTACTTTCATGTACCATTTGTTTCGTCAAATTTTGTTCGTAAATTCGGTGTGCACACGAAGAGAACGCAGCATTTCGTAGTAAGACTTGAGTCCTTAATGAAAAGGCTGACGGGTTTTTCAATTTGAAGGGATTTAAACATTTGTTTAGCCAGAATGTTGTCATTTTGATAGCATGTTGTTCTCCATGTGATATGGCCGATTCGAAGAAACTCCCCCCGTCCACAATCGTATATACTACTTATATCAAACGAATTTGTGATATTTGCGGGGGGGGGGAGAGGTAAACTCCAGTGCAGAAGTCGCAAGACAAAGGGTAATTTGCTTACTTTTTGTGCTCTGAGTCTGATACCCTCTCTAATTTCTACTTCACTCCTATCTGTGCAAACTTGGAAAGTGATGTGACCGGTGGTGACTGCTGATGTCATGTGATGTGTAATAAATCATATATTTTGTGCAAAGGCTGTGCAGCAAATCAGTCTACTGTATATTGGTCTATAGTTATTAGAGAACCACCATGGTTGTGACACACAGGGTTTTTATATCTGCTCCCCCCTCCCCAATGGGTTTGCGGAAGGGGAATGTAGGGGGAGGACCTGAGGTAAACGCTTGCCATGCAAGCTAGTGAAGACCCTGAGTGTACGGTTGATTGAAGCATGCCTTACTGTATATGATGTTGGTTTTGTTTTTACCACCATATTTTCTCAAGCTTGATTTGATCCAAATGCAATATTGAAGCGATTATTATGCAGTAATAATAATTTATTATTGCATTCCATGACGTCATGATAAAATTCGTGGAACAGGAAGTGAAACACATTCTTCGCCATCTTACATGTTGCAACACAGGAAAAACAAAACATAACTTTTTATCCATTTCCTTGTGTTAACAACGCATCGAACTCAAATATAATACAACACCGGCGACCTTTTAAGGCCCAATTGCGTATAGACTGCACAGTTCAAAATGTAACCGTTTGCAATTTGCACAAAAAGGAAAAAACGAGAAGCAAAACATGGTCGATCGGACGAGCAGCCTTTCGTCTCCGAATCGTATCGGTGATTCGATGCGTGAAATTAAAGTGTGTCTGTTAGGGGTAGGTGAAGTGATGTATTTAAATATTTTATTAAATGTTGTTTAACTTAATGTGAGTTATGTTTTTATATGTAAGGATACTGGTGTTGGCAAATCATGTTTGGTGTTGCGATTTGTGTCAGATCGATTTGACGATAGATCTAAACCGACTATTGGGTGAGTAATGTAGTATTAATGTAAATTTTATATGTTTAGGAGGAAGATGGGTTGATTCATAAACGTAGTTGTAGCTTAATATATAAGCCTTGTTATTAGAAGTTTGGACTTTGTATTAATCAAGTTTTATATATTCATTAATTGTGTCTTAGAATTTAATTATAAATTATCACTGGTCCATTTACATTAATACATACAAATATAATAGAAAAGTTCAAGGTTACAATTACCCACAGGGATTTGCCAGGCCGATTTAGATCCACATGAATGATATTCCAAGCATACGTCTGGTAAACGTCATGTGACAACAACATTCATTGAATGTCATTCATCATTAACATTTAGCAATTGAAATACAAAATTGTCCTGGCAGATGGCAAAATTCAAGTCCCAATGAACCCCAATAGGTTATTCTTTGTTATTTTTATTCTGCCATCAAGGGGAAAATGTTGGGTTTTTATGGTTACTTATTAATAGTATAATAAAGACTATGTTCACACACAAACGGTGCAGAAAAGTCACAATTAACCGTTATGTTCACACCAAGCCGGAGCAAAATTGTTTGAAAACGTCACCTTTGCCATAACAATTTGAGCACGGTTTCTAAACAGAGCAAGATGAAAATGATCCGGTGGCTTCGTGTGAACACAAACTCTGTTACCTTTTTGTATCGCTTGTGAACCAAGCATTTTAGGCGAGGTCTCAAAATACTCAAATGCTTTTCGTTCAAATTTCTTTGCTGTATTTTAAATAGTTTGGGTTTACATGAGTGCTAAATTAATTTGTAAAAAACTGTTTAACGGTGTAGTACGAGCACACATAAATTCTGCCAGCATTAATTTGCTCTGGTGTATAAATAGGAACATATAGTCTAAGTCTGACATAAAGATTCTAAATTGTTGTAGTGCATCGTTTATGTCGAAAATGTTTGTTGCTGATGAACAAGTGTATAAATTTCAAATATGGGATACCGCTGGTCAAGAAAGGGTGAGACTGTTATAATATATGACATCACTACAACAAAAAAAATCATTAAATATTACCCATTTTGAAATTAGTTTTCATGACCTAACAAATATCTCAACTTATATATTTCAGTATCGAAGCCTAGCACCTTTATATTACCGAGATGCCAGTGCAGCCATTGTGGTGTACGACATAACAAACCAGGTGCATTAGAAGACCCATCCGGAAAGTACATAATTTGGCTGTAGAGCCTCGTTTTCATGTTTTTGAGGGGCTTGGATTTAACTAATCTCACATACACGAAAATGAGGCTCTATAAGGCGTAAAAAAAATACCCGTGGTTCCGGTTTCATATCATGAAAAAATTAGGGTTGGTAGGTCGGAAATAAATTTTTCTTTTGAATATTTTTTTCATGGTTTTTTGCTGGGCGATTTGCAGTAGAGTCCCGACATCAATATTAACTAGAGATGCGTATTTCCTACATGGACGAATTTAGGCAATTTGGTGCAATAATTAGTGTGACAACAGACGCCATTTTGGCATGCTGTATGAGCAGTCCGCAACCACCTGGAGAAAATAGGGTCGCGTGGTCAATCACATTGAAGAAATAATAGGGTCGGCAGAAAAAAAATAGGGTCGGTCGGGAACCGGAACCACAGGTATTTTTTTTTACGCCTAACCAAATGACACACTTTTTGCAAGGGTGAATTGCGAATGTTTGCTTTAAGTGAGAGAGCCAAACCTAATATAGAGCTCAGTGACTGAATTCTAAAATCTCATTACAGGGTAGTTTCTATGCCCTTCAAGACTGGATAAAAGAAATTAAACGATATGGGCCAGGCGAATGTGTTGTAGCAATTGCTGGCAATAAATGTGACTTGCAAGATCAGAGAGAGGTAATCAACAATTGAAATATTTTATATGTAGATTATGTCCAATTGCTTGAGAACTGTGAGAGATCACATTGGATACATTCCCCATGGCCACAAATTTGAAAGCAAAAGATCTTGAAAGCAAAGATCAGACTTAAATGGATTCCTAGGATTTAAAGTTAATTTTATATATTGGATGAAATATGTTGTGATATGCAGTGTTATTCATCTATTTTCTTGTAGATATCAACAGAGAGTGCTAGGGAGTATGCAGAAAGTGTAGAAGCTATTTTTGCAGAAACAAGTGCATTGTCTTCAAGAAACGTCCAAGAACTTTTTTTAGAAATTAGTAAGTGTCAAATACTTCTGGATTGGCGGGCTTTTATTTATTACGATTTGTATATTAAACTGATTTACTCCGCTGCTTTTTCTAGGCCGAAGATTACCACAGCCCAATTACGAGAAAAATACTCTGCCAACTCTTTCCGAACCAAACGTTGAAAGACAAAAAACGTGTTGCTAATAAGCAGTTTAATGAGTAATGTTGTAGCATTTAATAAATTTAGAATTTTAGGTTGGTCAAAAGCTACATAACGTTTACACAAGCAAAATACAATACCATTATGATATGATTTGTATGGTCAGATAGCCTTTCTAATTGACAATAATCAGATGGGGAACATTTTAACGACTTCAAATGAAGGCTTAATAGCTATGCCGTATTATAATGGTGTTGTTAAATTAAATAGACAAATTTGTCTATCAGCCATGTATCAGCCATGTGTATATGGCCAATACAGCTCAATCATGCAGCTAATCCATATTTATGACCTTTGCCACCCTATTCATATTTTATGCTCCAGCTGATCAGTCTAATAGGCCATGGCAGATGGTGCTCAATTTCAAGGGTGTTTAAACCATAGATGCATTTTCAGATTTTTCTCTGGAAGGTGCCAAAAATTTAAGGGGGAGACCAGCAACGGGGCATGTAGTGCTGCCAAACAAGCTGCAGCAGGAGTCTGGGGGTACAGTTGCTAAGGGGGGTAAGGGGGCGAAGCCAAAATCTTTGTTCTTAGTCTTGTTTAGTTCAAAATCCTTATTTCAATCACATTTCAAATCCATTTTTCTGGGGGAAGCAAATTTCTCTAGGTGGGGTTGGAAAACTTTCATAGGGGGTGCAAATTGTTTTGGAGGGTGCACCCCCTCCCAGAAAATCTGTCTATGGTTTAAACTTTAATATACTAATATAGGAGCACAAAAATTAAGCTAAATCTCTTATAAGCTTGCCATGAACTACAAGGCTATCAAATCAAACAAACAGTGGAATACTATCTGTCTAAAACTGTTTTATATCATGCACTCTTATTAAATATTGTAATATGTTGTTAGATATAGTAATTTGTATACGGTAGTTAATGAAGTTCCATTAATAAAATACAAATTACCGTACAGTACTTTTAAATATAATATGTTTGTTTCTTGTTGTTGTATATTTGTAGAATTTGTGTACTTATTAATAATTGAATTTTATATAGGAAATATGAAATATCAATGAACGAAATTGTGTGAAAAAATTGCCGGGGTTTTTGCAAACAGTGCAAAATAAATTGTGTGTATAAAAATATTACATTTAGTTCATACATAGGCTGAGCTACTGTATGTTACAGTAAAATCTACAAACATTACATTTTCACGTAATGTACACAATGTCACAATATTTCTATCTGTGACTGTCCATCGTTTAATGCAAATGACGGTAGACTCAAGGGACACGAGAGGATAAAGACGTATAGTGCGGTACTATTAGGTGTATCTGCCATCATGGAACGTTTCCTTGGCGACGTTTAGACAATTTTTGAAAAATCTTCGAAAATGTGAAATAAAAAAAGATTAAAAATGGCCAAAAGAGAACCATTTCAACCAAAGGTAAAAGACTGCTCTTGCATTTTGATTCTTTGGAGTATATTAACAACGATATTTTATATTCCTAGGCCCGGCAAAGCAGCTGGAAACAGGCTCAGAGAAAACCCTTGTTAGTACCACAGTGTTAAACTTTGTTTATAAATAATTTAAATATCAAATTGTACGAGGAATTCATGCGAATGCCAATTTAAAATCATACATATTCTATCAAAGGTCATGAGTACATACTGAATTACAGGCCATCAAAAGCATATCATGACCTATCATCAAGTACTTGATGAAATGCATTTGACAGCAAATGTTGCTACTCAGATACAATAGTCTGCAAGGCATGCAGCACAGAACAGATTGACACAGAAGACAGACTCAGCCAAAAAAGGATACCTGCCACATCATGACTCACAATGATCCATCATCAAAATGTTCTCGCCATGTTCGTAGCCAGTGCGGTTATGAGAGGCATTCACCCCCTGAATGTCCGCCATGTTTAAAAAATTGAAATTCACCCCCTGAATGTCCGCCGTCAAAAAATTTTCGGTCAGTGTACCATTTTAGGAGTAAAAAATTTTTTCCGGACCTATCGCATTTTTCGCGACATTAAAATTTTTTCAGATATCACAAATTTTCTCCTTTTGTCAAAGAACTTTTTCCAAAATTCTGAACATTTTTTGGATTTTCTAAAATTTTTGTAAATAATATAAGATTTCGTTTAATATTTAAATAGTTCCTTTGACCAACTTTTCAAAAATTTTGACCAACTTTTCAAAAATTTTGACCAACTTTTCAAAGTTCAGAATTATTGGGGGGGGGGGGGGGGGGGTGTCGCACCCCTGCCAAGAAGTCGACCTTCAGTATAGTTCCTATTCTGTGCATGCAGGTTTCATGGTTTACTCCAGTCTCCAGTAATTAATTACCATGACTGGCCTAGGCTGCAGTGCAGATCGATCGATGTTTGATGGGGAGCCATGGCGAGGTGTTCCCCAACCCAGATAAACACCTGCTCCCAGTGTGAGAGCGCTGCACATAACATGAATATATCGATGTGTTTAAATCTACTCTTATATAGTGACAACAGTCGTACAATTCGCTTCAAGTGTTCTCTTCAAAATACAATTATTGATGTTCTTCGTGGCAAAGGATGGCAAGAAGTAAAAGAAGGGTCAGTGGTTAATTCACTGAAATGAAGGAGGCAATTGAAACTTTTAAAATAAGGGGTGGACATAATATTTGCATATATAGATGTTAAAATTACACTCAATGCAAAGATTGGCTTAAAGTGCAGCTAACTGCAATCTTGTGCGCAGAACCTAACCTGGGAATGGACATACTCCGGTTAATATCTTGAATTAACCCAAAATATGATTTTTGGCATGTGTAATATTCAGGTCATTCTAAGAAGAAATGTAATATATTTTTATAGTAAAAAATCCCATCTTGATCAACTTTTTCACTGTCAAAGTTTCCGGATATGATGTCATTAGATGAATTGCAAATTAGTTTTCCTTTGTTTTTTTTCTCCACAAATTCATCTAAATACCTAGTGACATCATATCCAGAAACTTTGAATCATATCGACAAACTTTGACACTAAATCATTAAATGACAGTGAAAAAGTTGATAAAGATGATTTTTTTACCATACATTCTTTGCAAAATGCCCCAAATATTACACATACCAAAAATCATATTTGGTTTTGGTCACACTTTCAGTTATCTAATTTATACACGTTATAAGGTTATTCCGCGTTAATCACAGACAGCTATGAAGTCAGCGATATGATTTAAAATTTTGTGGTGTTGGTTATGAATTAGTAATAATTTTGAGTAGAACCTATAAATGACATTTTATATGCAGTTATCTACATTGAATAGGCAGTATCAATAAAAACGCACAACATCATATTTGCATCTTTTACCACAGTGAAAATGACTGGGATATATTCTGGTGTGATGTGGGTTGGATGAGAGAAAATTTTGATCATTTCTACTTGCAAGAACACGTGAAGCTTTGCCACTTTAGAAATCATTACGAAGTAAGATTATTGTGGCTATGACTACAGTTACAGATATTTGTTCGCTCTTCATGTAATTGGTTCTTGCAAGCCACAAACAAGTAACTATAAATCTTATGTTCTTGACAGCTCACGCGGAAAAATTTGATGGTGAAAAATCTTAAGAGACTACGCAAGCAGATTGAAAGAGAACATGGGAAAACAGCAGCTACAAAGTATCCTAAACTATAAACTGTATTTATACTGGATCAGGGCCGTAGGAAGCTCTTTTTGATTAGGGGGAAGCTCTTTTTAAATTTAGAGTCTCTGAAATGCCATTTCCTGGACTTTGGCCTGTTTGGGGAAGATTTGACAGAATTCTGATGGTCAGAAAACAGCGTTGTATCATGTCAAAATTAATTTAGTTGTACTAAATGGGCGAAGGCGTAATTAATTAACTATATTTTGGATAAGTTTCAGGAAAGTATGGGTAATATCGTCATTCTCTGCAGTTTTGCATGGATTAAATGATAAAGGTCTGCATGATTTTGAAAAAAGAATGATTATTAGCAAATTATTGGGGGGGGGGGGGGGGGGGGGTGCTACGGCCCTGTGGATAGCTCTATCAGCTTTAAGCTGTTGCCTTACAAGTCTTCTATCTGAAACAATGGAGGAAACTAAAAAAGAGTGATTACTTGATTTAACAGGATGCATTGCAGATAGTCTGATTAACCCATTGAGTGGCCACACCCTTCCTATGACGATTAAAATAGCCTGGCATTAGACAGAATAAAATAATAAAGGATAAAAGATTAACTGTGTGTCATCACCTCTGAGTGAAGTTGAACATCCTCCGAAACCCACCATCTTTTATTGATTCCTTTACTACAAAATACAGCTGTGATTTTTACCCAACATCGTATGAATTACCGGTGAGCTATATAGACAGGGAACTTTTTAAGTTAAAAGTGGCGGATCAGGTCACCTAAACTGATTTCACGATGATGGCAGCTTTTAATTTTTACGATTCCCATTCATCAAAAATTCAAAGTCGTCAAAATGAACAACCAATTACGTCAATCAAACAAAAGAGAATCAAACACTGATCAAAGTTTACTAAAAGACCCATACCTGGTGGATTAGTAAGTATCTCGTATACCTTGATGCATATAGCCTGAAAATCCAATTCTTACACTTTCAGGCAGAATATCACATATTTGTGGAAGAATTCAAGAAGAATCCTGGAAGCGTTTGGATAATGAAACCAGTATGAACCCTGCACTGAATTGTATTCATTCAACTTTTTTAGTTTGTAGTGAATGGCCCGTTTTGGTGCATGATATTTTTACATTAGAATGTTAACAAACTGGTGTTTTCTGCTTTTCATCTAATGTAAATGTGCAGGTTGCAAGATCTCAGGGGAAAGGAATATTTCTATTCAAGAAATTAAAGGACATAATTGACTGGAGAAAGGTATTATTGCATGTCGAACATGTTCCTTTGCATCTTAAATCAAGGGCTTACAGTAATTGGTTTTGAGCTGTTGAGTGTTGTGGTGTCCCCGCCTTTTTGTTGTCGTTACCTTTTTGTCCAACCTTGAAACGTGGGAGGCTTGCCGCATTTGCTGTGTTTCGATGTTTTGTCTAGGTTTATGGCATTGCCAAGTTTTTGAGCAATTTTCCGTATTTTCCAATGTTGGGCTCATATTTATTCAAGCTATTTTAACTGAAATGAATATATATGATTGTAAAATTAAACCGTCCTAGGTCAGCGATCAAGGGTGCATGTTTTCACTTTCATGTTGAGACATAGACAGAGGCGTTGAAGTTTGCACGTTTTGGGGTTGAACAGGAATAGTTGTGTGTGTTGTTTGATTGTGTAATTATAGGCGAAGCTAAATAAATTCTGCAGTCTTTATCATTCCCCGTTATTCTTCTCACAGGAAGACTACTACAGAGTATCCACGGATGAAAAGGTCGGTAAATAAACTGTTTTCTCTTTTCATTCCATTTCAAATCACGGCTTACAAGACTCGTGTACAATCACAATGGATTTCTTCTAGAAAGATGAAAAAGAACCACCAGAAACGTATATAGTTCAGCGATACATTGAAAATCCATATTTAATTGGAGGTAAAATCTCAAAGAGACACCACCGTTTTTAATTTAAGACTGCTTTTCAATAATTTTTTTAAAATTTCATGTTGTAGGAAGAAAGTTTGATATTCGAGTTTATGTCTTGGTTACAAGTGTAAGTTTAGTGGAAAATTCATGCCATGATACTATGCACGAGTATTAAAATAGGCATGTACTAAAATAACTTAGATTCTTGCACTTCACTTGGTGGAATTAATATTAGGATGTAGGGTTTGTAATCCAAGTGAGAATATATACATTTTAAGACCTAACCAGGAACGACTAACTTAGACCTAACCTAACTCGTTCCTGGTTAGGTCTTAAAATGTATATATTCTCACTTGGACTACAAACCCTACATCCTAATAATGTACTAAAATATGATGCTTTGTTCTAGTATATGCCTTTAATCGTATGGTTATATCGTGATGGTTTTGCGCGATTTTCAAACACTAGATTTTCACTAGATTCCATTGATGATACATGTATCCTTTGAATAACAAAAAACTTGGTCTTAGTTGAGTTATTATATAAACATTAGCGCATTATTCCATATGTGGTGCCGGCAATACTAAACAAAAATACAATTGCATTAATGTACTATATTTTTGTGCGGTTTTGTATAAACTGAGAAAATTTTAATTTAATTTAACGAGTTTGTTAGGGTGACATTTACATCAATAACAGGTGGAAGAAACAGGGCTTGAGTCCCAGTTGAGATCAACCATCTAAAGTCTAGTTTTTTGTATAAAACGGGTTTTTTCGCCTTCACCAAAAGATAGACATTCATCTCACAAATGTTGCAATTCAGAAAACAGCACCCGACTACGATCCTGAAAAGGTGGGGACGTGAAACATATCTTCGTTTGGATGATTTTCAGATTTGTTTATAACTTAACAAATTTTATTCATTGTTCATTGATACTGCAGGGTTGCAAATGGTCTCCACTACGACTTAGAAAGTACCTTACTGCCAAGCATGGCTTGGAAGAGGTGGGATTTTAAACCATACAGCGAATGTTCAATCTAATTGAAGAAGCTAATATTCTGTTCATTGAGAAGAAGCTAATATTCTGTTCATAATGATGGTAGTGTAGTGGTGATAATGATGGTAGTGTAGTGGTGGTGGTGATGAAGACAGTGAACCAATATGATGGTGACGCTGGTTGTGGAAGTTGTTATTGGTGATGACAGAAATTATGATAGTGATGGTGGTGCATGAAGAGGGTTTATTATAAACTGTGACATATGTTGTTTATGACATTTTGAGTTTTCTATTTAGGTGGAAAATCTGTTTCGCCTGATTGATGAGATCATAATAACAAGTTTGCAAGCGGTACAGAAAATTCTCATAAATGATAAACATTGTTTTGAACTGTATCCTTTGCCAAGGCAGTTTGATATCATGAATTGAATTGACCATTTGCGTAATAGACTAAATTTTGAACTCAACAAGTCTAGACAAAAATTTCATCACAGCTTGAAGGAGCATCACAAAATTAGTAATATTCCAAAGTTTCGTTGCAAAATGTAGTAAAATGCGGAAAATATAGCCTTGCGAAGTTTGCAATTTTCAGTCATTTTAGATTACAAACGGGAAATTGACAGCCTCAAACCCTTCGAGGCTGTCAATTTCCGGTTTGTAATCTAAAATGACTGAAAATTGCAAATTTCGCAAGGCTATATTTTCCGCATTTTACAACATTTTGCAACGAAACTTTGGAATATTACTAATTTTGTGATGTTCTTTCAAGCTGTATTGAAATTTTTGTTGAGATCAAAATTTAGTGTATTACGCAAATGGTCAATTGAATTGAAACATAAATTTGCATGTGTTGCTATATATTTGTTTTAACAAATGCCCAGATATGGTTATGATATTTTAGTGGACGAAAATCTAAAACCGTAAGTGTGTGATAAGCTAGACTGTCTAAATTACGCAACTTTTTGTTACCGTCGTTTTTTTGGCTACTCGACCAAACAAAAGATAATAATATATGTTTGTGATGTTGTCTCTGAGTGTGTCCACACCGGGGAAATTGAAAAGTTTGCTTGACCACCAGTCCAATGCTCTACCAACTGAGCTACGAGGTCAAGTCGGTTCGAGTGCGTGATATTTCGGAACTCAGTCGAGTTCCTTCAATATCAGCATGTTTCTACAATCTTGAATTTTACAAAGGTCACGGGTTCAATTCCCACCGCGGTCAAACAAACTTTTCAGCTTGCCCGGTAAGATAAAACATCACAAACATATATCTTCACCTAAGTCAGGGTTCGTAGTCTCCAAGACCAAAAAAATTCAAAGACTTT